ACTATGGGCCATGAGTGCTCATCTTTTACACATATATGGCTGGTGGCAGTAGGCTCCTAACAGTTCGCATTTTTAAATTGAAAAATATGCCAAAAGAAAATTTTCCACATGGTATTCATATACGAGCTAATGAAAAAGAATGGATGAATGAAAAGGAAATGCTATGGTGAATTGAAACTGTATGGACCTCAAAAAACCCTTTTGGTAATTTGCATTCCTTACTGGTTTTGGATTCTTTTCGTGGTCATATTGTAAATTCTGTTAAAAATCGGTTAGTAGAAAAAAATATGAATATTGCCATAATTCCATCTAAATTGCAACCATTAGATGTTGCAATTAACAAAAACTTTAAAGCTAAGGTAAAAATTGTATATAATTCTTTAAAATTTTTTATTGTTAGCAATTTAGCATGTTTTATTTATAAATTCTTTGATTTTTGTTAACATTTATTTATAATTTGCAGGTTAAAGAATGATATAATAATTGGATGTCTTCTACCATTCATGCTCTTACTCCAGCTGGAAGAAGATCTTATTAGGAGGTCTTTCAAATGTTGTGGAGTTTCAACAAATACTGATGGTTCAGAAGATAATGACTTATTTGATTATGATAAGTTACTAGGCATGCTGGAGGATAATGATGAGGTAGATATAAATAATCCAGATGATGAAGAAAATGAATATACCAAAGAAAATGATTATGAAAATAGAAACAGATAAATGTAAGGGTAAAGAAAACAATGGTAATAAAGATAGTAGCGGAGAAGATAGAAATCAAAATTAATAACTAACTTCTGATGAAGAATAATGTTCTATATTGAGAGAATTTAGGAAATAATATAAAGGATTTTAATAATGTATTGCATATTGTAATATCATATATAATAAATAAAGTTGATAATAGGATTTTGGTTTACTGAAGAAGTTTACTTTGCGCTTGAAAATGGTCATAAACTAAATTCTAGTATTATACCCCGGATATTTTATAAATTTTGGAGATTAAAAATTGAATGTCTCTGTACGAAATATCCGGGTATTTAAAAATCTGAAAAAATTTTTGTGTAGAGTATACATGGCCTGGTAATTCCCTATTTTCATATAAATACGTAATTTGTAATCCTGGTAATTAATTACCAGATTTTTTGAAAAATACGTAAATACGTAATTATTTATGTCATACGTAATTAATGTAAATATTATTGGCTGATTATGGGTCATGTGCTTTTTTTATACAAAGTCATATCAGCATTTTATTGTTTTTGCATTTTTATATATATAAATGCCAGAACCATCAGTTTCAGCATTTTTTTTGCATTATACAAGTCAAAACACCGGAACTATCAGTTTCGGCATTTTTTTTGCATCTTTACAAGTAAAAACACTGGAGCTATCAGTTTTGGCATCTTTTTTTGCATTTTACAAGTAAAAACACCGGAACCATCAGTTTCAGCATTTTTTTTTTCATTTTTACTAGTAAAAACGCCAGAACTATTAGTTTCGTCATTTTTTTTTACATTTCTACTAGTAAAAATGCCAGAACCATCAGTTTCAGCATTTTTTTTTGCATTTCTACTATTAAAAATGCTGGAACTGATGGTTCTGGCATTTTTTTTGCATTTTACAAGCAAAACCACTGGAACTATCAGTTTCAGTATTTTTTTGCATTTTTACTAGTAAAAACGCTGGAACTATTTGTTTTAACGTTTTTTTTGCATTTTTACTAGTAAAATGCTGGAACTATCAGTTTCAGCATTTTTTTCATTTCTACAAGTAAAAACGCTAGAACCATCAGTTTCAGCATTTTTTTTCATTTCTACAAGAAGAACGCCACCAGAACTATCAGTTTCAGCATTTTTTCTTGCATTTTTACAAGTAAAAATGCCAAAACTATCAGTTTCAGCGATTTTCTTTTTATTATTACATGTAAAATGCCAAAACTATCAGTTTTGGTGATTTTCTTTTCATTTTTACATGTAAAATGCCAGAACTATCAGTTTTGGCGATTTTCTTTTCATTTTTATATGTAAAACTGCTGAACTATCAGTTTCAGCATTTTTTTCTCACATTTTCACATATCATGTGATTAATTACCAATAGTATTTACGGTAATAACGTTAAACGTAATTATTTACGGGTACTTTTGACTAATTACGAAGACATTAATAATTATGACTAATGTAATTATTTATGTTATACATAATTAATTACGAATTACGTAATTATTTACATATTTTGAATTACGAATTACGTTTTTGGCTGATGATTTACCAGGCCATGTATAGTGTAGAGCAGTGTTGGGCAATTGGACAATTGGACGTTTTGGACATTTATCCAAAACCTGTCCAAAACTTGTCCAAAACCAAAACCTTTTTTTCATTGGACAGGTTTTGGACAGATCACATGACAAAAAATTTAATTTTGGCCAGAATTATGACTAATTTTGGCTAATTTTAATTTTAGTTCAATTATTAAATTACTTCAAAAATCTTTAAATATTAATTTTTAATATTATTTGATTTTACATTAATTTTTATCATTTAATTAATATTAAATATTTACTTTTTTAACATTTTAACATTATATTTTTATTTTATTTTTAGTTTCAGTTGATGAATATTAGGACTCTTAAGCAGTTTTAAACTGTCCAAAACTATGTCCAAAACTATGTTTAAAACTGGTTTTGGACAGTCCAAAATTGTCCAATTAAAAAAACCAATTGGACAAGTCCAAAACCCAACACTGGTGTAGAGTACTGTGCCATAGAGGGTACTGTAGCCCACAAAATACAGTACTTTATATCTAATAGTTTGGACTAATTCCTGAATTAATCTATAAACTTCTTGACTATCTTGTTATCGCTGTAATTTCCTAAAAACTTGTATAGTATTTTGTGGAAAAACACTATCTGAATACCTGGGTAAAATAACAAATTGCCAAAATTCTCTAAATCTGGGATTCTCTTTTCCCAAAGGTCAGGTTATTAGTAACCGTTCGTAATATTAAAAAAAAAATTATAAAAAAAATAAACCAATATTCGTACTTACAAATCTTGGTTCTACTTTTCCTAAAGGTCGGAAGTCCACTTCACCCGATTCTAAAAAAAAGAAAGAATGGTTATTAGTAACCGTTCATTAATATTAAAAAAAAAATTAAAAAAATTAAACCAAGATTCGTACTTACGAATCTTGGTTTTTTCACACAAAATTAAGCCTGCCCGAACCTATAAAAAAAAGAAAGAAACAGTTAGTAAACCTTCCAAAATGATAAAAAAAATAAAAATATATATATATATAATCACATACTCTTGATCATCATTTTTTTGTACTAGTACTACGCCTAATCCTATAATTGATGGTTTTGAGAAATCTGGATATTGTACAATTGGTGCTGTTGTTAATTTATCTCTTAAATTCTCAAATGCTTCCTGTTGTAAATTTGTCCATTCATAGAGTACATCCTTTTTTAATAATTTATACATTGGATCAGCAACTTTAGCAAAATCTTTAATAAAGTATTGGTAATAAGAGAATAATCCTAAAACTCCGTGCAATTCTTTAATATTTTGAGGTTCTGGATAGTTAATCATTTTATCAACTTTTTCTGGATCTGGTTTGACACCTTGTTTTCCTACAACATAGTCTAAAAATTGAATTTGTACTACATCTATTTCTAATGGTGATTGGTGCTCAGGAAGAGCAAAAATTTCCATATCCATCAAGGCATTTTCTGTAAAACTGAACGTGTAATTGGATTGTTGTAATGACGTCAACAAACTATCTTTCCAAATTTTATCAACTCCCTCACAAGCCAAAAGTTAGAGCACATAAGTGCTATAAAAATAAAATGGAAAAATTTGTGCTGAGAACGTCTTGAAATTCAGATAAAAGAGCTTCATAAGGTGCTGGGTCTTTGCCATTGGTAAGTTGTACAGTTTCTACTACATGAAGTTCGCTTACAGTTTCTGGGGCATATTCACTCAGGCTGACTCTAAGAAAGAACTATCTCCAATGTTATTAAGAAGTTGTTTGACCTTTAAATAGTTAACTATTGATCTATTGTTACTGTCATAAGCTATTTTTAACAAAAATTTTACTGATATTTTCTTGGAAAAAATGGTTCATGCGATCATCAGAAAGAGTTCTTTTCCTCTTCAACAATGGAAAATAATAATAAAAGATTGGAAAGATGGAAGATTGCTTTGTCAGAATATAAATATGACATTGTATATCAGAAAGTAACTAAATATGCAAATGCTGATGCATTCTCTCGTCTTGACTCAACCTCAATTAATAATCACACCAATCCCTCAACCTCACATAACGATCATGAATAAACAATTACATCAGCAAATTTAATTAGGCATAATATTATGTAAGTTTACGATATCCGTAAATTTACAGAGTATTATGATGTAAACATACGTAAGTTTATGGGTATCGTAAACTTCTGGAATATTATAGCCAGGATTGTGGTAGTACACCTGTGCTAGCAAAATTCTGTACTAGCAAAAAATTTCATAAAAGTACTAAGTACACTGTACTAATACAATTATTACTTTTTAGAATATAATTTAACCATTTTAGGTAAATATCATGTGATCAATATTGTTTATATTTATAAAATTAAATGTACTAAAATTGTATTTGTAATAAATAATTTTCAACTAGTACTGTAGTACTGTACTAGCACAATTCCCAACCCTGAATTTATAGCATATACTTTTGCAAGTTTTACGTATCGAAATCATTATGAAATATTACACTTGAAATCCTTCACAAGTTTATGTATCATAATCATTATGGAATATTACGCTCGAAATCCTTCAAAAATTTACATATTGGTATCGTAATCATTACAAAATATTACGCTTGAAATCCTTCACAAGTTTTTATGTACTGTAATTGTGAAATATTACACTCAAAATCTTTCAAAAATTTACATACCGTAATCATTACGAAATATTACACTCAAAATCTTTCAAAAATTTGTACTGTAATCGTTATGGAATATTACACTCAAAATCCTTCACAAGTTTTATGTACTGTAATCGTTATGGAATATTACGCTCAAAATTCTTCACAAGTTTTATGTACTAATCATTACAGAATATTACACACTCAAAATACTTCACAAGTTTTACGTACTGTAATTATTACGGAATATTACGCTCAAAATCCTTTGCACCTAGAGTTTCAAACTGGATTTATTTTTAAATCCAGATTAGGTCAGACCAAGCAAAAAGTGTGTTTAACATAACTCCCTCCCCCTGGGTCGAGTAGTTGTTCTTGAACAACTATAAATATTATCACGTGATTCATAAATTAATCATACTGCAAAAGGAAATTTAATGATTTCACATGCAGTAAGTACCACATAAAATTTCACACCCTTTCGTTACTTACAGAAATTTCAGCATTTTACCATTCATACAAATAAATCAGCTACCATAAGTCCGTAATACATAAAATGATTTATGCAATTTGATTTTTTTTTGATGTGTTACTAATTTTGCGTTGACAAAGGTCAAAAAAATATTATCAGTCAAAAAATCGTTAGAATTGACTCAAATACAAATACTTTTAAGGAAGTGTATGATGCAATTACAAAAGATTTATTTTCTACATGTTTATGTGGGAAAAATTGATAATAAATGGATTTATGTTGAAGAAGGATTATATGATGAACTTTCTTTAATGTTAGAGTTAGAATCAAAACATATAAGATTCATTATTCAACCGGAGGAAGATAATGGTGAAAGTAGTTCTAGAAATCAAGTGGTTCAACAGAATAAAATCAATATTTTTGACACTATGATGGAAAGAGCTCGTCAACCTTACTTTTCTATGCAAAAAAGAGAGGATATCTGATGTGATATTTTATACAATGATGTTATTACTTTATTGAGAAACAAACAAAAAAATGGATGGAGTGGCGTAAATTCAGAGTCATTTGCTAATAAATTTGTGGAAAGGCTAGTTGCTCTTTTCAGTATCAATGGGCTTCTTTTTGGTCTCCATGTTTTTCTGATATTATTTATATTAAAATATTAGAAAAATCTCACTTTCCATCAGATATTCCTAAAATATATGGTGAACACCATATATATATTGATCCACACAGAGAGAAACTAATTGCTCGGTCATTAAAATTACCAGATATATTTAATGAGTTAGAGCAATCAATATTAACATAATGAAAGTTATAATAAATTTTATTTCACTGGACATCATAAAAAGGAGTAGCTCTCTTTTACTAATTGAAAATATTAATAAGTATATCATTTATTTACAAGAGGTTAATCAAAAAATGAATACAATACATAATAGTAATGTCTCAACACGTAATCCTGGTTGTGATTTAATGGTAAGCATCTGATAGCATTCATTCCATAAATATGAAGAACTCTCAGATGAAAAAGATTTTTATGAGTTTTTTGATCTTGATGAATATACGTTAATACAAAAATACAATTACATCAAGAATTTACAACTTAATGTTCCTGTAACAATTTATCGGTATTACCAGGGCAATTATCTTGGATCATTGATCAGAAACAGAAAATGCACATGTAATAGCAGTAATTAATAAAAATTTACCAAAATATTATATACGTCAGATACGCAAAAATGCTTTAAATAAAGTAAGTTTTTTTTATACAATGCATTACTAGTATTATTATAATTAAATTTTATATAGGTGAAACTAATGCAATTTAATTTCTTTCAAGTATTTTCTTTTTAAAAAGGTTACACCAACTGTACTTTGAACTTTATATTTTAACTTAACTGGTGATACCTCAAGCCCTCAACAACAAATAATGTAATTAGCAAAAAAATTGAAGAATGTTTACGTATAATGATGCAACTTGAGAATCCATCAATTATTGTTGATCTGCGCGCTAATAATGGATTTAAAGGAAAAAAGTTTGATATTTTTTGGGATGAAATGGAAGCATATTTTAACGAAGTAGATATTCTAATTAAGTAAAATGTATTTCTATTTAGATTTTTATTTAAAAATTAAATAAATATTTTTTATTTGCCCGTAGAATGCAAATTGCAATTTCAATTCGTAATCTTCGTAAAATTATTATACATCGGTTAGAGGCTAAATATGATTTACCACTACCATGTAACATCAATATTCCATCTATTGAATGGATTCGCCTTCAATTTTGGCCAACTAATCCTACTTCTACTCGAGCAATGCATTATAATGGTCAGTTCAATATTAAATATCAAATTCAAGCTAGACAATTGCGTAAAGATCACACTATTGTGCTTGTCTTTTCTGTTATTTGCATGAATTTGCCATCCTTTATCGCGATTATATTTGTTTTATTGCAGCAGATGACATGCATAAAGTTCCAATCAGAGAGGGTGTTGCTACATCAACTGGTGTACGTAATAAGAAAAGTTTAGTTAGTACAAATACAACATTAACAGCAAGTGATTATGACTTTACAAAATTGTCCCTTACTCCTTCAGTTATTTTTTTTATTGATGTTCCAACAACTATTGAGGATTCTTTTTATCATGGAAATGTCTTTGTTTCATATAAAGATACTGTTTTTCAACCCAGCAATGCAATTAGACATGCAACTGAATTTTTCAATGCAATTAATGCAATTCAAACACATTATATTTCAACTATCCCACCCTCTTATTTGTTTATTTCTTTGTGGTGATTTTGAGCTGGGCAAATCCTGCAGAGCGAATTATGTCTATTATTAATTTGGAACTTTAGGGAGTTGCAATTATGAGTACAGAATTGGAAGATATATTCAAAAAAGTTGACACATTAGAAGAGATTCATGCAGCTGCAACTAAAAATGAAGATCTAAAAAATGGATTACATGATTGTATACTTAATATTCAACAGTTGTTGTATTACATGAAAATCCTTTTTGTTGTTATGATCCTGCAAATGATCATGATATTGATAATTTTTTTAAGGTATTTTATTTAATTTTAAAATATTAATTCATAATACTGTATATTTATTAACATATAAATTATTACACAGATTATTCATGAAATTGATAAATCATTAAATGTATGCGAAACAACAGCAGAAGTATTATCAAAGAAAAAGGAACTTTAAGAATTTGTAGAATTCGTCATTATTCATTTCAAGTAAAATTTTATTTCAGCTTCCTCAACATATTTTTAAAAATATAGATTTTTTACCAGATCCTATTCCATCAAAATGCAAGTATATTCTTTTTATATTATATATTTTGCTTTTATTTAAATCATTATTAAGTATAATTTTTATATGAATTTTAACAGCTAATACTGATTGTTATGAAGGATTTAAAACTGTATATAATACTGAAATATCTGAGAAATATCATCCTATTTTAATGGCAGCTATGGAAAATGCAGAAAGAGCACCACCAGCTATCTTAACAAATACCAAAGTTCATGATATTATCCAATGCTTTCAATGTGGAAAATTCTGATGTCTTTATAGTGAAAAAGCATTAATAACCATGCAAAAATCTGAATTTTAACGCATTATTAATGATTGGAATTATAATTGCAGATCACCTTTGGTATCTGAAGATCATGTGTTGTACAATATTTTATTTGTACGTGAAAAAGTCACATGTGAATCACCAATAGAACTAGCTTATTATTCATCACGAAAAAATTATATTTCCGTATGTTATTGGTGTAGGGTTAATAGATATTCCAACACATGTATCATCAAAATACAAATTTGTATTTCCTTTATGTAATATATGTCAAATTGCGGGTAAAGAATTTTTTGGAAGAATTGAAATTAAAACTAATACTCGAAAAAGAAAAAGAAATGATTTATAAGTTTTATGGTTGTAGTTATTGAAAACATAAAGAAAACTACATCTGATCTAAATAGTAATAAATTTTTTTACACATGATAATAAAAAACAACTTTATATTGTAAATTCTGACCAAAATTACAATTCTGGCTAAAATTATATTTGTTCAACTCATTTATTGTTGTTTAACTCCCCCTCCCCTCCCTCTAGGCTATAGTATTACATATTATGTTAAACAAACTTTTTGCTTAGTCCGGCCTTAGATATGAATAAAACTGGATGCCTTCAGATTTTTCAAAAAGGTTGGGATACTTAGCAAAATTTAAAGAACTCAAAAATATTTAGTAAAACTTAAAATAAAATAAAATTATATGCTAATTCTGTGACTTATATAAAAAGTGTTATGCTCAACTTATCTGTTATATATGCACCATGTTGTACACATAAATTGGGTATAGTTTATGATAATTTTAATCTTTGTTTTTACTAATAAAAAATTTTTTTTCAGTGAGACTTTTTCCAATTTAACATCTAAAAAGCTTTCTGCAAAATATAAAGAACATTTTTGTTAATACTCCTACACGAAGAATATGGAATTGCATCATCATGTAAAATTCCGTTACCTAATGCAACATGGTGGAATTCTTAGTTTTGACTGATTTTTTATGCTAAAGATTATATGAAGCTTGAATTGCAAGTTAATACCAGAAATAAAAAAAATAGCGAAAATTCATACTATTTTACAAGATAATCAACAAAGGTGGGTAATTACCATTAGGGGTAATTACTACCATTTTTCATTTTATTTCACCTTTTTCAAAGGAATTTGTTCATACTCTCAATTTTTTTCAACAAATGACTTCAGCATCTTGATTCTTACCTACAGCTAGTTTTTTGTTACACAGGTCAAAAAGTGAAAAATCAGGCATCAATCAGTCACCAATCAGTCACCAATCAGATACCTGATTGGTGACTGATTGGTGCCTGATTTTTCACTTTTCAACCTGTGTTAATTTAGTTTTTTTTTCACATTTTTTGTAATAAAAATTTTTTTGTTATATGATACTATTCACAAATTATCACAAAATTAAAATAATTAACCAACAAAATATCACTAATAAACAAAATAAAATTTTAGTTTATTACAAACATATTTTATAAATTTTATCATAACAAAAAATCACATATATACTTTTTTAGTATTTGCATCAGGATTTATCAAAAAATTTGCTGACGGGCTTTAATTTATTGGTTTTTATATTTTATGTTTATTTTACTGAAAATCACAAGTCGAAAAGTGAAAAATCAGGCATAAATCAGTCACCAATCGGTCACCAATCAGATATCTGATTGGTGACCGATTGGTGACTGATTGGCATTTTCGCCAAATACCGTCACCAATCAGGCAGTTCAGAAAAAGATGAAATATAGCTCATTGGAATTGTCTCAACAAAATGAATCTAATGGAAGGAAATTAAGTAAAATATAAAATTAAAAATGTATCAATTATATTTTTATTAACTATTAATCATAGAGATGCGTTTTTACTACCATTAGATTCGTCTTGTTGAGACACTTCCAATGAGCTATATTTCATCTTTTTCTGATCACTGGATGAAAAGTTAGCAAACTGCCTGATTGGTGACAGTATTTGGCAAAAATGCCAATTAGTCACCAATTAGTCACCAATTGGTGACTAATTTTTCACTTTTTGACCTGTGAATTTTTGGATACTTTTAAAATATATCGTGTTTTGATCTTTATTCTACGTACCATTTTAGATCCTGATTGATATTTGTTTCACGTACTATTTTAGACCCTGATCAATATTTGTTTCACATACTATTTTAGACTCTAATCCACATACATTGATATTGGTTTCATATAGGTACATTTATAATAACCCGAGTATGATTAATACTTTTTCTTAGATTTTTTTTTATATCCACATATGTAGACTCTAATTCACGTGTTCTTCTTTACATACATCATTTATAATAACCCGAGTATGATTAATACTTTTTCTTATATTTTTTTTTATATCCACATATGTAGACTCTAATTCACGTGTTCTTCTTTACATACATCATTTATAATAACTTGAGTATGATTAATACTTTTTCTTAGATTTTTTTTTATATTCACATATGTAGACTCTAATCCATGTATCTTTTTCACATACATTAGTATTAGTTTCACGTAAGTACATTTATAATAACCCAAGTATAATTAACACTTTTTCTTAGATTTTTTTTATATCTATATATGTAGACCCAAATCCATGTGTTCTTCAACATAGGTACAAAAAATTTGCCAACAGGCTTTAATTTATTGGTTTTTATATTTTATGTTTATTTTACTGAAAATTTTTGGATACTTTTTAAAATATATCATATTTTTCTAAGGTTTTGATCTTTGTTTCATGTTAATAGTGCTGCCTAAAACTGTTTTCAAATTCTAAAACTGTTTTGGATTTTAGTTTAGTTCCACTCCAAAATACCTAAATTTTTCCAAAATTTTCTTTCTAAAACACCAAAAATATGATTATTTCACTTATTTGCTTCAAAAATAATAAAAAAAAACAATAAAATTAATTTATTTTACAATTTGCACTTTTGTTCAGTGATTAATGTTATGTAATTAATAATTATGTCCATATTTAGCAGACAATTGGTATAAATTATAAAATCTAACATTATAAAATTGATAATTTTTTTTTTTATTTTATACATTCATTTTTTAAAAAAAGATTAATAGTATAATAATATGCCACCTAAAAGAAAAGCTGTACAATTAACATTAATAGAACGTTCAGAACCAGTTCCCAGAAGTAAAGGTAGACGTCCACAGGACACTGTCTGGACACATTTTGCAGCTGAGTGTCTTTGATAAAATAAGAAGGGTTTTTGTTAGCGTTTATGTGATGATGATGATAATATCATAGATGATGAAAGTAACAAACATCAAAATTTGATCAGCTTAACATTACCGATTTTTGGGATAATGAACATAACAAAGCATTATCAAAACCAAGACAAGACTCGATAGATCAATCTTCAATTAAAATATTTGTATGCTATTTGGCAGCCAAATTGAAGACAAAATCAATACTATAATTAAAAATACAACAAATTTAACGTTAAGTAATATTAATACATTATATTAATTATATTAATAATTTTTTTTAGTGGATTTATTAATTTATAAATAATATTACTTATTTACTTTCATTCCTGTTATAGGTTTAAATGGCTGGACGAATCCTGCAGGCCATTCTATTTATAATTTTATAATAATGATATATGATCGTTGAGAATTTCTCTATCAACTTCAAGATCTTTTAATTGTAAAGCATATAGCTCAACTTATAGCTGAAGAAATTGAAAAAGTAGCATAACTCCAAGAAGTAGAGAGAGTTATGGGAAGATAAGCCACAAAAACTTTGGCATTTTTTGTGGGATATCCTGTAGTCTCAGAAAGGGCAACTTGAAAAAAACATTTCTCGCTATTACAGTGTTGTTTGATCACAGATTTCTTAGAAAAGGCAGGAATATTGTAAGAGCAACCAGGGCAAGGATTATAAGATCGTTCATCAGCAGAAGTAGAAACTGGGAGCCAATGAGACATAATAGCAGTGTTTTTTTCCTATAAGTGATACACACACGACTAACAGATAAAGTTTGAGTAGCAGAATTATAATTAATAGCCCATTGGAAGTAAAAGGAATAGTCTTTAGTTAAATTATCTAATAAACAAGAAGAAACTAAAGTAAAAGAAGAATTAATAAAATACGAAGATAAAAATAAAGAAGAAAAAGGAGAAGAAAAAAAATTATTTTTAATAATTTTAACCAAGTAGAGATCTGTCCTTTTTTACTAATGATACCAAAATAGCGAAGGTCAAACCATTGTATAAGGTAACGTCTACAAGGAGAAGCCAGTTGAACGAGAACAAAAAGCAAAGTTCAAATTTTTCCAAAGTTTCCAACTTGTTTAGAATATTGAGAGCAGCAGAATGATTCAGAGAGGTAAAGCAGGTTGCAAATCACGCCTTGGAGGTCGGAAGTGAAGAGACCACGTGATATTGATTCATGAAGAAAACAAAAGTGAATTAAATAAAGTGTGGGTCTGAAGAGAAATAATATGTGACCATGGTTCGTAGTCGGGCAACTTTCAGTGTCCAAGTAGCCTTAAAGATAAGAGATAGCATAAATGGCAAAACTTTTAAATTCAGGATAAGTAAATATCTTTTGCCAAGATGTGATATGAGAGAAAAGGAACTGATAAAAAGCATTTTGAATAGAGAAAGGAAGTTTCAAGAAAAGCAAAGCCAAAGAAGTTGTAGCAGCAAGACCAGCTTTTCGTCTGAGAACAGAGAAAATCAGTTTCACAATCGATTGAATAGTGCTTTCAGAAAAAAGAGTAGTTTGTAGACAAAATTCCAATCTCAGAAGGAGAACAGCATTATAGAGATAGGCCACATATTGTGCAAGTAATTTCTTTGAACTAAGAAGAGCGGCCATATTTTTAACCATGGAACGTGCTTATTTAAGTACAAATTGAGAAGAGGCAGATAAGAAAAACCAAACGCCTAAAAGTGAAATGAAGTACCAAGAGCCAAAGAGGAAAGAGGGAAAGAAACATTAGAGACTAACAGAGAGGATGAAAGGTTGAAGGTAACCATAGAAGAAGGATGAGAGGATGAAAGAAGGTATACATGCTGCCCAAATTATTTTAGGATGCCATAATTATAATTTGGGATGCCATAATTCATTCAGTTTATATATAATTTACTATGTAAAGTGCCAAAATAATTTGGGATGCTATAATTGAATTTGGAATTTTACTTATAATTACGGCAGTCCAAAATAATTTGGGTGGCGAAGGACATATTTTGCCAAATTTGCTTGAACATTATTTAAAGTATAAAATTTGGCAGTGATTGATGATATCAGACTTCGAAGAAGCAATGAGTGTTGAGTCATCCATAAAAGTCAAATGTGAAATTGGTAAAGAATGTTGTTTAAATTCAAGTAGAGAATAGTCCAAAAGAACTGAAGATTTTATGACAAAAGGATCTCATGATTCACGATTCAAAATAGTAAGCAGGTAATCTAAATAAATAACCCAAAGTAGAGGGGAAATGATTTCTCCTTGATCGATACTAACATGCACTCGATAAGAAGCAGAATTGCGTAAAAAGATTTAAAATAAATTGCACTAAAAGTGCAGGTATATGGAGTTTATCTAAAGCAAGTCTAAGCTAGGAATTGGAATTGATTTTATCAAAATCGAATTAATTGAAAATCGAATCATTCCTATAGAATCAATTAATCAAATCTAAAAATCAAATCTTAATAAATCAATTTTTTTTTAATTTTTGCGCAGCAAAATCATTATGTTACTTCTATAACTGCGATTCAGTAAAAAAAAATGATATCAGAATTATCGGAATTTCTAAAATTGATGATTAACATAAATATTTGTACAAATAATGTCATTTACAAACTTTATTTCATTTTTTTCTCACCATTACGAAAAATATGGCTACCACCATGCGAAATAAGCATAAGCAATTGGCTAAAGAAGCTGAGAGATAGATATTAGTACAAGAGGAAGAAAGTGCTACTAATTCATCTAAATCAAATGAAGAAGCAAGCGACCAAACCATATCTGATAATTCTGATAATGATGATGTCATTAATATATCTGATGATAATGATGTTGATAATGCAGATATTGGCATCAATGAAAATGTTTCAAAAAAAAGAAAACCACCCAGTAAAATTACAAGACCTAAAACAAGTTGGGTATGGAATTTCTTTAGAGAAACTGAAGATGGTTCAAAAGTTATTTATCAAATTGAAAGTGTGGCTCTCCAAGTTCAATGAAAACACATTTGTCAGGTACACATCATATTACCAAAGGTATTGCAATGAGTTATCTAAAAGCATTACAAAAAGGTGATCAAAATCTTATTAGTAATATAATTGAAGAAGAAAAATCTAAATCACATCCTTATTCCAAATAAGAATTATTCACTAAAAATGTAATTGGATTTGTTATTGGTACAGTACAGCCATTAAGTATTGTAGAAAACAAGGATTTTATTAAAATGGTAAATGGATTTGATTTATTTTACAAGATTCCTTATACAAAAACTCTTAAAGAACGAATTTTATTAGCATATGAAGCAGGAACAGAAAAAATTAAGAATCTTTTGGACAATTTTGTCCACTTACATAATATTAAAAAAGAATTATAAATCCCAAAATAAAACTTTTAATTGTAATAAAAATTTTGCAATTTGCATTTCATAATCTATTGCGTATACCTAATTTTATTATATTCTGCAATTTAATCTAAATAATAAAAATAATAAACTTCTCCTTTAAATCTCTGAATTCTTTGCTTAAACTCAATTTAAATACAACATCACTTTTTCCTTCTGGCATGGTGAAATCTTGATTCGACATAATTTCAGAGACACGTTCATCTAGTTGGCTTAAAGTAATTGATTGATGAGCAGGAATTTGAGACAAAAATATATCATAATATTTTTGCTTTACAAAAAAATCACACTTGCGACAACCTGCTTACGCAAGCTGCGCAGGTGTTATTTTATTATTAAATAACTTGCACAATCTGTCGCATCCCAACCTATTTCTCTGTTCGGCTTTTTTTTTATCCGGTATCCGTTTCGGTTAATTCAGGATGGAACTATCAGAATTACCAATTTTTTGATTCATAATATATTAAATATTCTGGTCGAAATTATAGTCTATTCAGAACTGAGATTTACAATCTTTTTTCAGCAATAATCTCATTTAAAATGTTTAAGATTTTATCCAGATCAAAACACTATACTTCGCATATAAGAGATCACCCAGGATTTTTGTATTTTTAATTTCTAATCTTTCAGCAAGCATTGAAAGATCATCATAAATTTGAACTAATGATGCTAAATGTAGCAAATTGAAAGACTCCGCCGCTATCACAAGGCTTTCACAACATAACTCCTGTTTTTTCTATTGATT